GAAGAAAAGCAACAAGACACAACAAACAATCAAACACTGGTCAGGTTGATGTGGCCGATAGCTGCTCATCAGAAACATAGATATGCTTAGAAACAAGTGGAGGGCATGGACCTAAACAAAGACTGCACTGTAGCTGCTCAGGTTAAATCTAAATGGTTTGGTAGATAATCACATCTGAGAGCCAGGCCCACTCAACTGTCCATGCACCGACATGTCTACCAATCACTCTCCCTGCTCCACTGTGACTGGCTATGCTCTGCCTAGCTCCTCCGATATTTGTGGTTGTGAAATTACAACAAATGAGAATGTGACACAAATTACTGATAAAAAAAATAAGTGAAAATCTCTGAATGGTTAGACATCAGTCCCTCTCAAACCCTTTTAGAAGCTAATATCTCTGCACACTGTCAGTGCTGTTCAATGACTCTGGGTCCCAGGAGGTTGCGACAGCACCTCTCCACATTAAGACACATTTTGGAGCAGATTTCTAAAACAACAATATTTCAAAAAAGTTCCAAACTGTAGCTTCAAAATGCTGATGTTCAGTTCAGTGTAATTTATTTGTATAGTGCCAAAACACAACAATTATCTCAGGGCACTTACTAGACCTTCTGTTTTAAGGAGCACCCAACACACCCCACTTGAGCAGCACTCGGTGACAGCAAGGAGGAAAAACTCCCTTTAACAGAAGAAAGCTCCGACAGACCCCAGCTCTTGGTGGGCGGCCTTCTGCCTCGACCAGTTGGGGTTTAGCAGGTATAATGTTTAACATGATCATAATCTTAATTTAAGAGGAGGGATTTTTATCCCCAAGGAGAAAGTTTTGGTTGCTGTTGGGCAGTTTAGGCCTATTTGCCTTCTGAACATAGAAGGCAAGATTTTCTTCAGTGTAGTGGCCCAAAGGTTGTCGAGCTATCTAGAAAGTAATTAGCTCATTGACACCTCAGTGCAGAAAACTGGAATACCAGACGTTTCTGGATGCTTGGAAATTGGATTGGTTTGGACTTTGATGCTAGTGCTACCTTCAGTTACATTATTTACGTTTAACATTGTTAGCACCACTGATTGAAGTACAGTCTCAAAGTGCTGCTTTCATGGCTGTTGACTCCTGTGCCTGTCATTAACCCCTAATCAACTCTAAATTTTCCCCTCTACCAAGTCACCTATCATTTCACTCAGCTAATTGACATACACATGTGGAATGGTGTTAATGAATAACATGTTTGTAAAACAGTTTCAACCAAACAAAACCTCATCTATCAATCCCACCTTCAAATATGTTATTGTACTGTTAAGGGCCATAGAGTTGAGATGAGAGGAGATAAGGTAAAGTAGACCTTTATGAGTTCCACAACAGGGAAATTCACAAAGCTACAGCAGCAAAGGTACAAGGTAGTACAAGCCTTTGTAACTGTACATTGAACAGTGAATGCTAAAGCTAATGACAGATGCCATGACAACAAAAGTCACACTTCATCATATGTTTTGTTGAAGCTTGTTTTTCTTCACACCTCTGATTGCAGTGACACCTCAGAGACCGAGACATCATGTGACACTAGGCCATGCAGGTGGGAGCACACTTCATGTGTCACTGCCATAGGAACAACTAATGGATAATAATAATAATAACAACCTTTATTTGGCCAAGTATGTTACACACATCCATTGACCTCAACTGGGGATATTATCGGACGGTGGAAGGAATACTTCGAGGATCTCCTCAATCCCGGCGCCATGTCTTCCGATGAGGAAGCAGAGGCTGAGGGCTCAGAGGTGGACTCCATGTACATTTTACTTTAATTTCCATTTTATGATTATGTTTTAGTTACAGTATTTGGTGAAATGATTAAGGGTGTGAAGGTTACAAGTTCCAGATCACAACGGCTGATCTGTACAAAGGAGTGAAAAGATAAGGAAGCAAATACTGAACTATACTATAATACTATTCAAGTAATTTTCTTTGGTTATATGTTATCACATTTTTTGTTGTGTTAGAGTTGATTTTGTTAGAATTCCCCTGCGATGACCTGGGACCAGAGATGTCGGCTGATGGCCTGAATAGGCCCAGTAACGGTCAAAAGTCACAGCTCATGCAGAGGATAAGATTTGCTATGTTTCTTTACATTTATGGTTGATAGAACTGTTATTAGTCTGAGTCATTAAAAGTGCCTATATAATGTTTTGCTTAGGATTTGGTAGTATTTGTTTACACCTTAAAAGGTGTAAAAGGAGGGATTTGTTAGGGTGATTTTCATTTTTAGATAGAAATATATAATTAGTTAGGGATTTATTATATAGCATACATAAGTTTATATATTTTACTCTCACAGTTGTGTTTATGTTTATGTAGTTACATATCACCTTAAGTCTGCATTGAATCACTGGTCAGTATTTACTGTGTTAGCCAACTGGGGACTGTTTAACATCAAGGGAGACTGATTCACTAAACACTGAGAACTCATTAGATTTACAGCCTAGCAAAGAGGGTCCACAGTTGTTTTATGATCACCACCTGGCTGAAGAGGCCAGGGAATTTGGGGTCACTGGGACACTAGGGGTAAGAAACAGAGATTAGATCTGAGGCCAGGAAGAGAAAAGACAACTTTAAAAGACAGGGCCATATACAGACACACAGGCAAGATAGTTTAGTAGCCAAATGGAAAGCCATGTTTTATAGAGTGTAGTTACTTAGTTGGAAACAAAGAGGTGAGTGTAGGAATTTAGACAGAGTAGGATTTTCTCTCTCTTTAGGAAGCTGCCTTTCCCATTGGAGCAGGAAGGATGCAGAAGGGGGACGGATGGATAGATGGACCAATGGAGCAACCCGAGACCACCAGACCAGCCTACAATTGCACATTTCAAATTGTATAAGTAACTGGGTTTCAGGAGGGTAGGTGTTCTTTCTCGTCCTGAAGACGAATTGAACAGGTTTTGCTGTTGAGGTTAGGGCTTCAGATAGAGATGGAACCCAGAGCTCTGTAAATTGCTTTATTCGATGGTCTGTTTAGTTATGATAATAAATGTTTGAAAATTGATATTTGATTCCGATTATTCTTCATGAAGAACACGCTACAGAAGACATGGCGCCACTTTTTCACACCACTGTAAATCTTGATGGCGGTTCACCATTGTGATGCCTGTCAGCCATCTGTGATGGATGATGGCATCGTTTCATCTCTCATCTCTAGTTCAGACAGAAAAATGCGTCCCGATCCATGCTCTACCAGAGGTTCTTAGAGCAAATAATGAAAATGTGTCTGAATCAAATTCCGTATCTGCAAGCTGATTTTGATTCTGTAGGTAAATGAAGTAAAATGAATTGCTGCCTTTAAGGGGCCGATGCTTTAGAAATTGATCAGAACTAATGTACAAAATATTAAGTATTGTAAAGTATTCTGAACCACCAGTAGATGTACATGTAGCCACAGAAAAACATACACTGAATGTTTTGGGTGATGTCACATAAAGTTAGAAAATGAGGGCAAAGATAAAGAATGCATTTTAGTAACTGAGGCACACACAAACTAATCTATGGCTTCTCTGTCCACCAGGGTGACTTGTGTCCTGCTGGCTGTGATCTGAAGACCACACCACTGAAATGAAAGGAACGTCAAGAAGGTGAATAAAGCTGATTTACTAACTTACTTTGAGAGAGAGCTCATTAGTGTTTTTTATTTTCCTCATAAATATTTATAGCCAGAAGTAGGGCTTAGGGGTGTAAGAAAATATTGATACACTTGAGTATGGTGATGTCACATTTTGTGATACAAACCTCACAAAAAGCAAGTAAAACAGACCAAAACATAAACACAAAGTGAACTGAAATAACAGATCCTTTGCTTAAGTAAAAGTAGCAATACAACAGTGTAAAAATATTGTTACAAGTAAAAGTCCTGCATTCAAAATGTTGCTTAAGTAAAAGTACAAAAGTATTAGCATCAAAACATAGTTAAAGTACTAAAAGTAAAAGTGCTCATTATGCAGAATGGCACCTTTCACATTCCTGTATATCATAGTTACTGATGCATCATTGTGTATGTCACAATTAATGTTGCAGCTAGTAAAGGGGGAGCTATTTTAACTGGCTTATACACATTTAACTTGTCACTTACACGCAAGTGACAGGCGACACGTGTCAAAGACAGGAAGCGTCTGTCGGCTTCCTCAAAGTTTAAACATGGAAGTTGCTTGTAATCACAGCCTCGGCACCTTCTAAATAGGGCTGCAGAGTATGAGATAATGAGGTATCAGAAAATATCACGGTTTCATGGTATTAAACAGCTACTGTAATGATTATGTTATGTAATTGATTTTCACTCTTGCACTGATGTAACAGCAGGATTTGAAAGCTGCAGTTGTTTGAGGTCTAGCAGCCATTTTGACAGATGACTCTTACTGACTTTTTACTCCTGGGGGTTTTATAGCATGTACAGTGATGAGCCTAGGTGTTGTCATTTCACTTCACCTGATACGAGCAAAGCATGATCACACTGCTGAAGGGATGCACTGGATTTACAGCACAAGACAAAATGGAGAGCAGCATAATAATCATTTGATCTCAATTTTTTTTTTATAATCACTGAAAACCAAAATTGTAATTGAAAATTACAGTTGGATTAATCGCCCAGCACACCTGCTTTATTAGCCCCAACCATTAGCATCCACATGCCCCCATCACTGCCATCAGACCTTCTCTGACATTGCAAATCACTGAACTACACCATTTAATTTTTAGTTAGTATTGTGTAAAGATATTTTGATGTTCAAGACCTGTGATGAAGGTCACAGTCTTCCTCTATTTTCCAACGACGGGTCCTCATCCTGAACACCCTCGATGGCAGTGGCGCCTTTGGCCCACGGTGGGACGAATATCGATGCGACAGAGGTCATTGCGAGACTCCCAGTGAGACATCATGCTTTAGGACTTCCTTAACTTCAGCTGTTACATACCCATGTTCACCAGCAGTTGGTGGCTGTCTAACATACCTTCTTCATGTGACAGGTCAATACTGAGTGGGCAACAAGCGGTTAGTCAGATGACCAACTGGACACGAGCCGAGGTGAGTCCTTGAAGTTTCTAACTACAGCAGAAAAGGTGTCTAGCTGTTGATAATGAAGTAATATTTCCAAACAAAAAAGCCAAATGTCTGGTTCTAAATGTAAGAATGTGATACCTTCTTAGTGAACCTAAAGGAATAATCCAAACACCACAGAGTGATGGTAATCTAATGCCTTGTTTATTTTCATCCTGACTTGAAGTTGGTACTGATCAGTAACAACCTGTCTAAATTCAAATAAAAGCATTAGTATTCTTAATGTCTTCATATAAAGTTCACATAATTGGCACCAACTATTAAACAGTTTTGCTTGCTGAAATATGGTTTGTGATCAGCAAATACCATCAGAAATTGGACTTAAAATGAATTTTCACTTCTATCTGGAATGAAACCGATGGTCTCTGCTGTTGTTTAGTCCACGCCCAGTATTGCCAGTTCACCGCCCAGTCAGAGACGTGCTGCCAGTTGATGGTTACTCTGGTACCACTGGCAACTGTTTGCTGGATGGAGCCTTACAGCTCTGGTGTAAACTGCACCGTGATGATACACACCGTGATGTTCAGCACCTCTGACAGAGACACCAACAGCTGGTAGGTGTCAAGTTCACGTTGCAACAGCTTTGCAAGACAAATGATTCATGACAGTTTTCTTATGTGCAGATTTTATGGTTAAGCTTTAACTGTATTCTTAGAAACTAGACCATGACATATTTGAAGGCTTTGCATGATCCAGTTTTCCCACACACCGTGTTAACCTTTATTGTAAACAAGATGCCCCTTTGCAAAGTTCTGCCAAAACTCCAGGCCGGGCTTCTTCTGAAACCGTTAGCAACACAAGTGTTTATATATTCTGTAGTGTCCTCACAAAACAATGTTCCCCCCAGTTAAAACAGTGTAATATCTTGCGTTCATGTTAACGTCAAAAGGACGTCTTAGGGACCGTTTTCATCAAAGTACACAGAATGATTATAGATTATAGTCATGTTAAGAAAACATGGGCTGTGGATGTCCTGTTGATAGCATGACATTCTAAGTATCTGAAAAAAAAAATTGATCTGCTGTTTTCTCTTGTGAGGACGCTACAACATGTAAAACAGACACTTTTGGCAGCCTGTTGTGTTGCTGATAGAGGAAGGCCATCTCTGAGTTTTGGCAGAACTTTCCAAAACAGTGTTCTGTATACAACAGGGAACAATGTGTATCTTAGAAAGCCTTCAATGATCCATAACACAGGGAAGTTCCTAACAATACTTTACAAAAAGAACAGGAAGCATGAATAGGCAAGTTTATTTTGAGCAGTTTTGTTGTTTGAAGAAACACCATTTAGAAAAATTCTCCTTTTTAACCATCTTCCAGTGTGTCTACAAAAGAGAAGTGAATACAGCTGATAACATTAGCTAGTGTTCTGTATACAACAGGGAACAATGTGTATCTTAGAAAGCCTTAAATGATCCATAACACAGGGAAGTTCCTAACAATACTTTACAAAAAGAACAGGAAGCATGAATAGGCAAGTTTATTTTGAGCAGTTTACAGTGACTCTACAGCCAGTGCTAACTTTTCCAACACCACCTCAGAGAAAACTCGGAATAACCATGTTTTCAGTCAGATCATTTGTCACGCTCATCGCTGAGTCAACAGCAAGTACAAGTTCTAAGGGCAGCTATTACAGCTAGCTGAACAGGATGACCATCAGGGCAGATGTATATTCTTATGCAGTTAGCATACAGTTAAACTGTAGCTCACCTTTGCTTTCCCCAACTCAGATGAGCCTGAGAAATGATTTGGCTGAAAACATGGTTATACTGAACTCTGAGGCTAACCAGTCACCCCAGATGCTGTTTAATGCAAGTTTTCTTGAATCTGCAACAGAGGAAATGGTAGCAAAATCAGAACGTTAAAAAATAACCAAAGTTATCCT